AAAAATGTCATAAAAATCCTTATTAATGGCAAAAATTACTTGTAGCCATGTTGTAAATTTCTCTTAGCCCTTCGTTTGAAGTGAGGTCCCGAAAAATCTTCGTTTCGAGGGCTATCTAGCCCTTCCCCTTACCCCTACCCCTCCAATCAAAAGAGAATTGAGACACCCCTACCCCTACACGTGAACGCGCCAAACGGAGGGGTAGGGGTAAGTGTAGGGGTAAGGGGTAGAATTGGGATTGGGCCTTACTCTGCCAAGATCACAGACAGCACCGTCCTCTGAGACACAGAGCTGCTAGGAACAATGCATGGCGGAGAAAACCGTTTGTTAGAATGCGTGGTTACCATTCACATGAGCTGATGCTGACAATGGTCCTTCTGTGCCACTGTGTCCTTCTTGCATTGTTTCCTCATTAAACATGTCTTTCCTTTATACGGGGTTATCTGTTGACAACGTCACAGTCACTAGGGGCTTACGTTGTCCTTGCATACAAGGCTGTGTAATACGACAAAGTTATTTTATTTTATTTTCTGCGATGGCTAGATTCTGATTGTGAATTTGGGTTGTAAACTATCTGTCTGCTAACAACATAAACAACATGTTAGTGAAAGGTTTTGGGCCTTGAACACTACTCATCATAAAATGATGCACTTTTTTTCTTTCTTTCAAAATGTATTACAGTGTAATTGTTTTAATTTGCATGGAATACTGGAATTGTAGAATGAATTGAAGATGAAGGCACTATAATAAAAATGCTAACCTTGCATTTTTTTTCTTCTGTTTTAGTAATTGCCGTCTGATGGCTGAACAAAAATCTAATCCTGTATGGCAGCATTTCACCAAGCCAACACCAGGAAAAGCCAGGTGCAATATCTGTAGCAGACTGGTGAGCTTGGGAGCTGAAGGTAAAAAGAAAAACACCACAGCTCTTAAACTGGGAGTATTAACAACTTTCAGTGAGGGATGGGTGGGGCGAGGAAGACTCAGGGACTGGAAGTGGGATTAAAACTGACGATAACACGCATATTCCTTTTTGTATTGTTTACAAATTTTCCTTCCCTCAGAAATGAGAAGTTTGCTGCTATATTGCGCACTAAAAGAGACTATTTTTATTGTTTACAGGTTGTGTAGTGTTTTTGTTATATTTAAATTTACACAAGTCAGTATTCAATAAATGCTAAGTTGAGAAATTTTGTGTATCATTTGTTATTATTAGTGTGATATTTTACCATGCAAATAGAGGGGGAAACGTCCAATTATGGGCCAAAAAAATCAGCACCATATATATTGGACATCGGCTGACCCTGACTCCTAAATATTGGCATTGGCATCGGCTATTGAAAAACCCATATCGGTCAACCTCTACTTTGAACTCATGAGAACTGGCCTTGCTTCATGAGACATTTTAGAGGTTAACCATCTGATAAGAAGCAAGACTTTGTCCTGATATGTCTGCTGAATAGAATGGAGAATAAGCTTTTACACCAGCAATGAAAGGCTGCTTTATTTGCTGTAGCACACTGGAGTTGAAATGAGCTTGGTATTCTAACCAGTGTGTCAGGAAAAGTGGAATGGAATGGCTGTGTAACCCCTGGTATATTAAACTTGGGTTAAGACTGAGTGGTAGGTTCGGGATCAGCAATTTGGTCTGGATTAATAATGAAGGCAATGCTGTGATGTGATTGGACCTATTTTTATTAAAAGCACTGCTTTGTCTCAAGTGTGCCTCTCGCTGCCTGTACTTGGCACTCTGTGGTCTACAGCAGTGTCCCTCCCG